CTTTGGGTTTCCAAGGTAGTATCACTATGGAAGTAGATTGCCCAGTCTTCCTTCTGAGGAGTGGCTGGTGGGTTTGAACCACCAGCCTTTGGGTTAGCAGTCAAATGCCTTAGGCACTACACCACCAGAGCTCCTAAGAGAGTGTGAGAAAAACCTGGTCATCTGCTGGGAGTCATAAAGACCATGGCTAGAAGAGCCATACTAAGTAAATCCCTGCCCCAGACTTTCACACAGACACACACCACATACACACAATGCTCACACTCACAGGGTCACACACTCATACACATGCTCACATATGCTCACACACACACGCTCACACTCACACACGTGGTCACACGCTCACACTCACAAGTTCACATGCTCACACACACACACACATGCTCACACATGTCCACACACACCAACACATACACAACTCACATGCTCACACATGCTCATACATGTAGGCTCATATACACTCACACACATGCTCACAAGCTTACACATGTTCATATACATGCTCACACATACACAACTCACATGCTCTCACACATACTCACACATGTTCACACATGCTCATACATTGCACACATGTTTACACATACCCTCACACACATATTCACACATGCATGCTCATAGTTCACACATGTTCACCCATACACTCACACACACATGCTCATATGTTCACACACACACTCATGCACACACACATACACACTCACACACGTTCATACACACTCCAGGTTGGGACTCCTACATCTCTGAGGGGCAAAATTCAGTCGACATCTGTGGTAAAGTATTCTGAGCCCTGAGGAGAGGTGAAGTCCAGACACATGCTACGGCATGGGGAACCTTGAAGATACGATGTTGAGTGAAATAAGGCAAACGGAAAAGAACAGACACCGTCTGAGCACAGTTGTGTGGGACGCCCAGGACAGGCGTGCACGGCCCTCAGCCACACCCAGCTCCTCTTCAGCCCCCTTGCTTCCCTGGCTCTCCTCCTCCCGGTCCAAGGGCACCAGGTCCTTTCGGCTGTATCCAGCCCTGGCCTCTCACCCCCTCCTGTCCATGGAGAGATCCAGCAAGGTCTTCTTGGTTCTGTCTCCTGTCGCCTCCCCGTCCCACCTGGAGGCTGCCCATACTTCTCCCCTTCAGTTCACCTGCCCACCCAGTGTCTCTTGCGACTGATTCACGAGCAAGCAGTGGGGTTCGGCGGTGGCAGCTTGATGAACTAACTTAACAAGGCATCAATCACACAAGGATCCGAGCCTTTATGGAAAGCTAGCGTGTCTCCACAGGAGAAATGGACTTCTCCCCATGCATGGGTGGCTCCAAAAAGAATGGGAATGGAAAGAGCACAAACTGCCTAACTTACTGGTTCTTCATACTTCCTGAGAGGGGCCTTCTTAGGGCGGGGTGAGGCCTCTTGAGTGACAGGACCCTGGGGAAGGGGCCAAATGTTAGAGGCAGGCAGGTGCAGATGCCGGCTTATATCTCCCTTCACTATTGCGAGGTCAGTGGTTGTCCTGCTTCACTTGAATTGACAAGATCTCTCAGGCAGCGGGAGAGATTTACAGGTGTTAGCTCATTAACCTTCGTAAATATTCCCCTCTTTCCCTTTTCTGCTCCCTTCGGAACTGCCTTCAGTCTGGGCCCCTGCTCTGCCTTCCTGTCTCACATTTCTACAACAACATGGGCCTGAGTGCACATGAGACCACAGGCAGGCCTTCCCAGAGCGGCTGGCCCCTGGGCCTGGGGGTGGCCTGCACCGCTATGGAAGGCTGGCCCCTGGGCCTGGGGGTGGCCTGCACGGCTGGGGGCGGAGGGCTGGCCCCGGGAACCCTTCTGCTGGTGGATGGCCAGTCCTCACTCTGTGTGAGAGGCAGAGAAGGGCCGGTGTGGCCCTGACGCCCCTCTGTCTCCCAAGATCGGGCTTTGTGTGAACATGCGGACCCTCCCGTGGTATGTCCAGGCGAACCCTGACTGCTTCTTCCCGCGCTGCTACAGCCTGTGCACTGAGAGTGAAAAGCAGGAGTTCCTGGGTGAGTGGGTGCTGCACATCTGGCTGTGGGGCCCCGTGTCCTCCGCTGAAAGGACCATCCTTGCCTCTGAGTGGGTGCTATGGCCAGCGGGGGAGGGGAAGCAGCTGATGTCACAAGGAGGGGCCTGTTGGGAGGGTTGGGAGGCCGGGAGCAGGGCATCTCTGTCCCATTCTGCTGACTTCAGGGACAGCCCGTGGCTCAGTCTGGCTGCTGAGGAAGGTGTGTGCAGCAGAAGCCAGACCCCTGTCAGGACCCTGATGGGGACGGAGGGAAGGAGCCTCTGTTACTTCTGGCCAGGAGGCCATAGGAAAGGGGAAAAGAAGGGCAGAGCAGGTGGAGCGGGCCCATTCCAGGGGGACTCAGTGTCCTCTGAGCACCCACCTGCATAGCTGTGGCCCTGAATGCACCCTGGGGGCCCAGGAGCCAGCAGCTGCAACCTTGCCGGCTGGGCCCCTGGGCAGACATTTCAGCATGGGGGCAGGAGAGGTACTGCAATGGGAGGGGAGGGGTCTCTGGAGGGGTCAGAAGGGGGTCTGAAGACAGACTGAGGGGGGTTTCTGAGGACAGATTGATGGGGATGTCTGAGAACAGACTGACAGGGTGTCTGGGAGCAGACTGAGGGGGTCTGAGGACAGATTGATGGGGATGTCTGAGAACAGACTGCGGGTGTCTGGGAGCAGACTGAGGGGGTCTGAGGACAGCTTGACAGCAAGCACCTGGTGGCCGTAGCTGGGAGAGCTGGTGCACATGGACAGTGGCACTGGGGAGGAAGGAGAGGCCGAGGGACAGGGGACAGGGGAAAGGGAAGGGGCCTTTTGGTATGACAACTTGGGGCAGTGCCTTGTCCAGCCCTGAGCCCCGGCCAGTAGGGTGGGAGGGAGGCGCATGGGGGTTGGGGAGCCCTGGGGAGCAATGGGGCTGCATGAGCGGGAGCGAGGCCCACCTGCCCCTGGAGCCACAGCGTTCGGGTGGGCAGAGGGGGCGAGGCCTGGTGTCCTTCCAGATGACTTCCGGCGCACTGCGGCTTCCAGCATCCTCAAGTGGGTGGTCAGTCACCAGAACCATAAGGCCAAGTCCAAGAGTAGGCGGGAGGAGGCCAGCGACAGTGACCCCAGCCACAGGAAAGGTGTGTTGGGGCAGGACAGGTGTGGGTGGGACCACCCCGGGGCATCTCCCACCTCAGTCCTGATCCCAGGGCCTTGATGCCTCCGGAGGCTCCAAGAGGGTCCATCCTACGCCTCTGTGCTGGCCTCTGATGGCTGC